GACCCCAGGGACTCCCCTGTATTTCATTTGATTAGTTATATTGTCCCATACATGAATATATATGGTTTAGGGGTGGGGATCTCGACTGTTTCCAAGTTCTCAAACAGGAGGGGTGGGGTAACCCTAGGGACTTCCCCCTATATTTCATTTGATTAGTTATATAGTCCCATACATGAATATATATGGTTTAGGGGTGGGGATCTCATCCGTTTCAAAGTTATCAAACAGGAGGGGGTAGAGTGACCCAAAGGATTCCACCTATATATCATATGATTTGCTTACATTCAGGTATCATATGATATAGTTGCACTATTTGCGAAAACAAAGTAAGAAACTTCCAGCGATTTTAACTGACCCTTCAAAATTGAGAAAAAAATTGCAGTAATATGTTTACACTTTAAAAGCATCTTACATGCATTATCAACATTTATCACTGATAAAGAAGATTTATACTGTCACCAGGAACATATATATTGTTATATATACTGTTCCCAGCTGTCACATTGTATTGGATTTTGACATTAAAATTTGTCAAAAAGTAATTTTGAGTTTCTGTATCAAATATTTTTTGCTTTTTCTTTCTTTTACATATATCTTTTGGTTTCCATTTCTAGTGTTTATATTTATTTACCATGCATAGATGAATTTTGTCACCTGCCTGAAATTTTTTTTTCGTAGTTGATCTCCAAAACCCGGAATTACCCTTATCCGCTTCCGGAATCGGACCCGATATTGTAATTGTCTACACGGCATCCATTGTTTTTCAATGTTGTTTTTGTCAGTCAGATACGATTTTACTCGAATTTACACATTACTTGTCGGCGATTATCTGTATAAAGCTAGCGGTTGAACAAAATGAACATCGCTGTCATGAATAATAAAGATGAAAATAAGTTTTGAGATCGTTTATTTAGAGACTTTGGTAAAAAGGTTTGCAAAGTTATTTTTAATTTTCTTTCAAGTGAAAGGTCCGTCGGGCGTAGCTAGTAACCAAGTGGAGAGTCCGATTGCAAAAGTGGAAGGTCGCGGACCTCGGACCACCGCTAATTTGAACCCCTGCCTCCAAATTGAAAAGATACGAAAATTTCGTCTTCTAATTTGAAATTGCCGCCAACAGCATGAACAGTTGAACTTATTAATAGACTACTGACGTAGTTGTACCACGTATTGACTACAAACAATATTCCTACGACTTTTGCCATTTGGGAAATCTAAACTACTTGTCTTTAAAGATTTTCGGCGATTAAATATTTCATACAATTGTTCTTTGACATCTTAGCCAAAAGCACAGGGGATAATAAACTACATAAGGATTCCTAATGTGCTCTACTTCCTATGTGCAACTTCAAAACTTTTGGGTGGTTCGACGATCATTTAAGGTTTTTTCTGGTCATATTTTTGTAATCCAGAATTAAAAGTATGAAAAAACTATTCAATTAGTTATAAATAACATTATATCCAGCTAGATAATAACAATGGCACGTATTTCAGCATTTATTGGGTAGAACACAAATCTAGGGTGCTCGCATAAGGCAGCTTAACTGCCTAAAAATCCATAATTGAATACAATTCTTTAAGAGCTGATTTAACCAAAAATTCGTAAGGGGTTCCACAGAACCCTGTGTCTTGCCTACGATTGCTGCTGTCAGTGTAAAAGTGTAATGTTGACTGAAAAAAGTGAGTCCATTTATCAGTAAAATACAGAATTAAAAAAAAAATTCAAACATTTTCTTTAGATGCTATTTCTTTGTCTTGAAGATTAGCTTCTGTCCAAGTTTCATAACAATCCATGAAGGTTTGACAAAGTTATTGATGAATGAAAACTGATGACTGAATCTGAATGTTAACTGTAAAAAAAACTACGGTATGTCCATTTATCAGTAAAATATGGAAAAATGAAAAATATTTTTTTCAAAATTTTGCTCTAGATACTGTATTTAGGTCATAAACAAGCTTCTGTCCAAATTTCATAAAATTCCATGAAGGTTTGACAAAGTTATCGATGTTTAAAACAAGAGTGCACACGCTGAAATGTCTCGCCTGCTTTACTGACCATTGATTTTATGTTGAAAATCTTAAAAATAAAGGTTTGACTAAAAACATTACAGAAACTTAACATTTTTAAATATCTATGACAATGAGATCAAGGTCAGATAAATTGTGTCAGACAGACATGTACACCTTACAATTATTCCATACACCAAATATAGTTGAACTATTGCTATTAGTACTTGAAAAACAGACCAAAACACAAAAACTTAACATTGACCATTGAACCATAAAAATGAGGTCAAGGTCAGATGATACCTGTCAGGCAGACATGTACACCTTACAATTATTCCATACACCAAATATAGTTGAACTATTGCTACTAGTACTTGAAAAACAGACCAAAACACAAAAACTTAACATTGACCATTGAACCATAAAAATGAGGTCAAGGTCAGATGATACCTGTCAGGCAGACATGTACACCTTACAATTATTCCATACACCAAATATAGTTGAACTATTGCTATTAGTACTTGAAAAACAGACCAAAACACAAAAACTTAACATTGACCATTGAACCATAAAAATGAGGTCAAGGTCAGATGATACCTGTCAGACAGACATGTACACCTTACAATTATTCCATACACCAAATATAGTTGAACTATTGCTATTAGTACTTGAAAAACAGACCAAAACACAAAAACTTAACATTGACCATTGAACCATCAAAATGAGGTCAAGGTCAGATGATACCTGTCAGGCAGACATGTACACCTTACAATTATTCCATACACCAAATATAGTTGAACTATTGCTACTAGTACTTGAAAAACAGACCAAAACACAAAAACTTAACATTCACCATTGAACTATAAAAATGAGGTCAAGGTCAGATGATACCTGTCAGGCAGACATGTACACCTTACAATTATTCCATACACCAAATATCGTTGACCTACTGCTTTTAGTATTTGAGAAACAGACCTAATCATGTAACTTTAACCTTGGTCACTGATCCATGAAATGAGGTCGAGGTCAGGTGAACTGTATGACAGACATGTGTAGACGTTGCACAGATGATTGACGGAAACTTCGTAAAAAGGTATCTGCATACAAGATATGAAGCATCAAGGTCTTCTACCTTCTGAATTCTGGAATTGGGGGTGATGGTCCCAACCGTTTAGGAATTAGGGGCCAAAACAAGCATTTTTCTAGTTTCAGGACAATAACTTGTGTATAAGTACTTTGATTGCTCTGAAATTGTACCACAAGGTTCAATACCACAAGTAGAAGGTTGGGATTCATTTTGAGGGTAATTGCCAAAACCGTTCAGGAATTAAGGGCCAAAAAGGGTCTAAAACAAGCATTTTTCTAGTTTTCAGACAATAACTTGTGTTTAGGTGTATGGATGTCCCTTAATTTGTACCACATTTTACAAAAAGAAAATTTCTTCAAAATTAATTTTTTTGGAAAGGGGGGAGGGTAATTTTTTTTTGGGGGGAGGGAATTTATTTTCCTCAAAAGAAAATTCTCTTCAAATATTTTTTTTTGTAGGGGGTAAAAAAAAAATTTTTTTTTGGGGAAAAAAAAATTTTTTTTGGGGGGAGGTCAATTTTTTTCCCCTAAAGATTTAAGAAATGTAAATTTTTCCAAAGAAAAAAATTGGGGGTCACAATTTATTTTTGCTACTTCTTTGTATATAGTCTGAAAACAGATTTAAAACCAGATTTAATCCACCATTTTCTACATAAGAAAATGCCTGTACCAAGTCAGGAATATGACAGTTGTTATCCATTTGTTTGATGTGTTTGAGCTTATGATTTTGCCATTTGATTAGGGACTTTCCTTTTCGAATTTTCCTTGGAGTTCAGTATTTTTGTGATTTTACTTTTTACCAAGTATTGCGCAACAGCAAAGTGTATTGCACAACAGCAAGAAATCTTCAATTGAATATAAGGGAGCTACCATTTGATCTTTATGGGGGGGGGGGGGGGGGGGGGCTAGGATGAAAAATTTGGTCCTGCATTTTTTTTTAGTTGTAATCTCTGTCCTGCCTTTTTATTTTCCACTCTATTTGATCCTGCCTTTTTTTCATTAGTTTATCCTGACTTTTTTTTACATAAATTGTCATCCTGCCTTTTTTTTGCCTAGTTGCTCATCTTGCCTTTTTTTTTTACTCAAAACTCCTGTCCTGCCTTTTTTTTCAAATTTCATCCTAGCCCCCCATAAAAATCAAATGGTAGCTCCCTAAATTCAAATCATACAACCAATTTCAAGTTCTTTGACACATTTATTCTGTGTCAGAAACCTATAATGTGTCAAATATTTAATTACAATCCAAATTGAGACCTGTATCAAGCTTGAATATTGTGTCCATTTTTGCCCCAACTGTTCAGGTTTGGACCTCTGCGGTCGTATCCAGCTGGACCCGGCGTAGCAATTTATTGTATTTATTGTCCGTCACTTCAATTATTTGTTGATTTGGTATTACATTGCATTGTTTATCTTAATCTGTGTTTTTTTTTACTTTTTAACTTAATTGTTTATTTTTTGCTTCATTGTAGCATATCATTAGTTTTTCTGTTCTTACCACTTCAAGGGTTGACTAGGGTATAGAAAAATGATCACATTAACTTCTGTTGTCCAGCAATTAAACCCATGCTAGGTGAGTGTCCATGTGGTTGTGTGGGAAATATAAAAATATCAGTCACACTCCGTTGATGGCTTGTATAGGGAAAGTGTCTTGCTTGTATCATATTAAAGAACATTTGCAACAGCACATGGAGTGTTCTTAAGGAGCCTTTTCCATAGCAAAACTTCTGCCCCTATCGAATATACCTTCCCTTTATAGTGGCAAATCAAGATTTCAGTTCTTCATCATGTGTTTACCCTACATCATGAGTATATAGTACATTGATTAAATCACATGTATTAAAACATGGACTATTTCACCTGCATCATCTCTCATCAATAATCCTCTAATATTAAAGTAAGTAAAAACAAAATATAGATCTGAATTTTATTTTGGACTTTTCTGATTGCACACAAACAGGTTTGTTGAATGACAAAACATAAATTAACATATGGAACAATATATTACATAATAGTTTGTGTGCCAACTTCATCAGAAAGCCTTGATTATCCAAAATTCTTGATCATACACTTCAAAAATGTACATTTCCTCCAATTAAATACACAGTGAATTTTTTTGTGTACAAATTTAGGTTTGAACTTTTGACATTCAATCACTCAGCTTTTAGAAAAGATATAGTAGTTTATTTTTATCTACCATCTTTTTTTCTTTTATTCCAGCATACTATTTAGGTCTTTCTTTTTTGCTGTCTTATTTCAACAAATGGAATCATACATCCTGTTTGTTGTATTTGGTTCTGGCAATAAGTTGATAAATAATGACTGGTGACAAACATAAGTTTCTGAGTGGTTGAGTTGTTAATGTTCCTCAACATATAAATCTTTACTAAAAACATCCACGTGTATGATATGACAATGACCAGTATGTTATCAAATGCTTTCTTTGAGCTAATTTATGTTAAAAGCAATCATAACGAAAAAAAATATAAACAATAATAACATCATCTTTCTTTTTAATACAATCACTCATGTAAATTAATTTTCAAGCTAATATATATCCTCCATATACTTTCTTCTATTGCCCTCAATTCATCAACGATCACATTGTGTGTAGTAGTGTCAGGTCACACAAAGTATGCAGTCTGACCGTTTATAACAAATAGCAGGTACCCCACTGTGAGTACCGCACAAAAAACTCGATTTTTTTCTCTAATTTGAAATAAGCATGTGTATTTTTTTTTATTGTTTTAAACTTAAAAGCATTTAAGAACAAAAGAAAGCACAGAGAAAAATACAAATTACAAACGAAGACATAGATCACTATACCAAGAACATCTGGCCATAAGATATTAGAAATAATTTTTTGGAAGAATTCTTTATTACCTGGTACAGTTATAATAAATTGTAGAATGATTAGTTTAAAAGATGGACAATCTGCAGGTATTCTTAAAGTAGCAGATAGTTATGTTATTCACAGTTCAGCAAGAAAGTAGCCTTTTCAAAAAAGTAATTTCGAAAGCCTGAATTTGACCCAAAAATGATATAGCAGTTATTACCATTTTTGGCAAGTATTAAGAACACATATGAACATTTCAATTTTGTTAGAATATGTTGGAAGTTGGGAGACCTTGAGTGTTGAGAAATTAAATATGAACCATATATTTCATGAAAATAATCTGAGAATATGAGCTTTTCCCATTGCTCTCCTCTGAAGTGAACCAGTACTACTAGCAATGGAAATAATTTCTATCAAATAATATTTTTTTTGTCCAATAGAGTCTTCAAGAAATGGCTTTCTTGAAAGATTTATAGAAAACAGAAAATGCTAATTTTCACGGAATTTCAATAAGAAACTGTTCTGTTTATGTATGATAAATGTACGCATTTTAACTATCAACATTTTCACATAATATTTACATGTAATACAGGGTGGGTTAATGATCACAGCCTCTGAAAAGATCAAACGCCTTAAATATATTGCCTATGTATTAATAAGGCAAGTAGACTTATCATAACTAAACTACGCTAGACTGACAGTGGCAGTTAACTTTTCATAGAAATTTAAAACGAGTAAATTAAGAATTGTATCAGAGTCTTATACCAGCTCAATGTTTTCTTACTCTCACGATGTCGACTGATGAAAACAATATTTCTTTGAGAAGTAGCAGAAGATTATAAAATATCCTGGTACCAATGCACTTAACCTTCTATCAGTTTCCACGAGAAGAACCTGTCAAATCTTGTTGAAATAAACATAAAACTGTACACAAATATTTACATTCAGCAATTTTTATGGTTTCACCTTGATGTGAAATAAGTTTATATATTTGTAATTTTTTTACAATTTTTAGGTACATCACATAGTATATGTTATTTTGTTTGCACCAAAAGAAAAAAGCACTAATAAATAATGGTGGATGATTGCTATCAGTGATGATGTCGACCTTGAACTTGAGATTTTAAAAATTCTTCATAAGCTGCCTCCATTTCATCATCCATACCTGTATAGCCGTCGTCATAATGTTCTATCCTACAATAAAGAAAATAACAACTTTACAACAATAAGAATGTACCTATACAGCCATTGTTATAAACTCATAATGTTCTATCCTATAATAAAGAAAAATAACAACTTTATAACAATAAGAATGTACCTATACAGCCATTGTTATAAACTCATAATGTTCTATCCTATAATAAAGAAAAATAACAACTTTATAACAATAAGAATGTACCTATACAGCCATTGTTATAAACTCATAATGTTCTATCCTATAATAAAGAAAAATAACAACTTTATAACAATAAGAATGTACCTATACAGCCATTGTTATAAACTCATAATGTTCTATCCTATAATAAAGAAAAATAACAACTTTATAACAATAAGAATGTACCTATACAGCCATTGTTATAAACTCATAATGTTCTATCCTATAATAAAGAAAAATAACAACTTTATAACAATAAGAATGTACCTATACAGCCATTGTTATAAACTCATAATGTTCTATCCTATAATAAAGAAAAATAACAACTTTATAACAATAAGAATGTACCTATACAGCCATTGTTATAAACTCATAATGTTCTATCCTATAATAAAGAAAAATAACAACTTTATAACAATAAGAATGTACCTATACAGCCATTGTTATAAACTCATAATGTTCTATCCTATAATAAAGAAAAATAACAACTTTATAACAATAAGAATGTACCTATATAGCCATTGTTATAAACTCATAATGTCCTATCATATAATAAAGAAAAAAACACCAATTTTATAAAAATATGACAGTAATGATAACAATAAGATGGATGATCTAGTCATCACAGACACTTTGCACAAAAACTCTTTAATAGTAAATGCCAAAACCAAAATTAAAATAGAATGCGACCTGTATTTTATGTTTCTTGTTTCATAACAATGATTTTATTTAACTAATAACTTACTGTTGATAATCATAGTTTTCAGGATATGCTGACCAGGAAGGATAAAATTGACCATCATCTAATTCTCCAGCCTCCCATCTGGCATATTCCTCAGCTGCCTCTTCCTCTGCCATTAAATAACTGTTATAGTCATTAAAACCTGCCTCTTCTCTGGTGATAGGCTGCCCTTTACTGTTATAAAATATTGGCTCATTCTACAAAAAATATGTTATTTACTGTTATAAAATACTGGCTCATTCTACAAAACATGCCATTTGCTGTTATAAAATACTGGCTCATTCTACAAAACATGTCATTTGCTGTTATAAAATACTGGCTCATTCTAAAAACATGTCAATTAATTACTGCTATAAAATACTGGCTCATTCCACAAAACATGTCATTTGCTGTTATAAAATACTGGCTCATTCTAAAAACATGCCATTTGCTGTTATAAAATACTGGCTCATTCTACAAAACATGTCATTTACTGTTATAAAATACTGGCTCATTCTACAAAACATGCCATTTGCTGTCATAAAATACTGGCTCATTCTACAAAACATGTCATTTACTGTTATAAAATACTGGCTCATTCTACAAAACTTGCCATTTGCTGTTTTAAAATACTGGCTCATTCTAAAAACATGTCAATTCATTACTGCTATAAAATACTGGCTCATTCTACAAAACATGTTAATTACTGTTATAAAATACTGGCTCATTCTAAACAAGAGTGCACACACTGAAATGTCTCGCCTTCTTTGCTAACCATTGGTTTTATGTTGATAGTCCTAAATATAAAGCTTTATTACAACTGTCACATAAACTTAACATTAACCAAGTCAACTAAACATTGACCAATGAACCATTAAAATGAGGTCAAGGTCAGATGAACCATGCTAGGCAGGCATGTACAGCTAACAATTCTTCCATACAACAAATATAGTTGACCTATTGCTTATAGTTTAAGAAAAACAGACCAAAACACAAAAACTTAACACTGAGCAATGAACCTTGAAAATGAGGTCAAGGTCATATAAAACCTGTGTGACTGACATATAGATCATAAAATAATTCCATACACCAAATATAGTTGAACTATTGCATATAGTATTAGAAAAAAAGACCAAAACTCAAAAACTTAACTTTGACCACTGAACCATGAAAATGAGGTCAAGGTCAGATGACACCTGCCAGATAGACATGTACACCTTACAATCATTCCATACACTAAATATAGTAGACCTATTGCTTATAGTTTAAGAAAAACAGACCAAAACACAATAAAATGCTTCGCTGGGCGCAGCTTGATACGACCGCAGAGGTCGAACCCTGAACAGTTGGGGCAAGTATGGACACAACATTCAAGCTTGATACAGCTCTGAATTTGGATTGTGATTAAATATTTGACACAGCATAGGTTTCTGACACAGAAAGAATGTGGTCTAAGAACTTCAATTTTTTTAATTTACCTATTATGGTCCAATGTCCAAAATCAAAATACATGGTTAGATTCAGCATATCAAAGAACCCCCATATATTCAATTCTTGTTGAAATCAAACAAAGTTTAATTTTGGACCCCAACTTGGACAAACTTGAAAACTGGTCCCATAATCAAAAATCTAAACACATGTTTAGATTCAGCATATCAAAGAACCCTAAGAATTCAATTTTTGTTAAAATCAAACTAAGTTTAATTTTGGACCCTTTGGACCTTAATGTAGACAAATTTAAAAAACGGGACCCAAAATTAAAAATCACATGTTTAGATTCAGCATATCAAAGTACCCGAAGAATTCAATTTTTGTTAAAATCAAACTAAGTTTAATTTTGGACCCTTTGGACCTTAATGTAGACAAATTTAAAAAACGGGACCCTAAATTAAAAATCTAAAAACACAGTTAGATTTGGCATATCAAAGAACCCCAATAATTCAATTTTTGATGAAATCAAACAAAGTTTAATTTTGGACCCTTTTGACCTCAATATGAACCAATTTGATAGCAGGCCCACAAATAAAAAATCTAAATACATGGTAAGATTTAGCATATCAAAGAACCCCATATATTCAATTTTTGTTGAAATCAAACAAAGTTTAATTTTGGACCCCAATTTGGACCATCTTGAAAACTAGGCCAAAAATCTAAAATCTAAATACATGTTTAGATTCAGCCTATCAAAGAACCCCATATATTCAATTTTTGTTGAAATCAAACAAAGTTTAATTTTGGACCCCAACTTGGACCAACTTGAAAACTGGTCCCATAATCAAAAATCTAAACACATGTTTAGATTCAGCATATCAAAGAACCCCAAAAATTCAATTTTTGTTAAAATCAAACTAAGTTTAATTTTGGACCCTTTGGACCTTAATGTAGACCAATTTAAAAAACAGGACCCAAAATTAAAAATCTAAATACACGGTTAGATTTGGCATATCAAAGAACCCCAATAATTCAATTTTTGATGAAATCAAACAAAGTTTAATTTTGGACCCTTTTGACCTCAATATGAACCAATTTGATAGCGGGCCCACAAATAAAAAATCTAAATACATGGTAAGATTCAGCATATCAAAGAACCCCATATATTCAATTTTTGTTGAAATCAAACAAAGTTTAATTTTGGACCCCAATTTGGACCAACTTGAAAACTGGGCCAAAAATCTAAAATCTAAATACATGTTTAGATTCAGCATATCAAAGAACCCCATATATTCAATTTTTGTTGAAATCAAACAAAGTTTAATTTTGGACCCCAACTTGGACCAACTTGAAAACTGGGCCCATAATAAAAAATCTAAACACATGTTTAGATTCAGCATATCAAAGAACCCTAAGAATTCAATTTTTGTTAAAATCAAACTAAGTTTAATTTTGGACCCTTTGGACCTTAATGTAGACAAATTTAAAAAACGGGACCCAAAATTAAAAATCTAAATACACGGTTAGATTCGGCATATCAAAGAACCCCAATAATTCAATTTTTGATGAAATCAAACAAAGTTTAATTTTGGACCCTTTGGACCTCAATGTGGACCAATTTAAAAACAGGGCCCAAAATCCAAAAACTTATTACACGGTTAGATTCAGCATATTAAAGAACCCCAAGAACTCAAGAATAAAACCCCATTGAAATTGATCAAGAAATAAGCAATTTATACGAAGTATCTTCTTTTGCACAATACTGTGCAATTGAATATTTCTTGCTATTGCGCAATACTGTACAATTGACAATTTCTTGCTATTGCTCAATATTGTGCTATTGGATATTTCTTGCTATTGCGCAATACTGTTAAATTGAAGATTTCTTGCTATTGCGCAATACTGTGCAATTGAAGATTTCTTGCTATTGTGCAATACTGTGCAATTGAAAATTTCTTGCTATTGCACAATACTTATTATATAATAATTTACACATCCTGTTTGGTGTGTATCTCCTACCATATCATTATTATTTGCTTTTAAATATAAATCAGAAATAACCAACTTAAAATGGAAAATTTTAAAAGAAAAAAAAAAGGAAAAAAAGAAAAAAAAAAAAAAAAAAAATCCCCCCCCCAAATTTTTTGAACCCCCTTATGATTCATCACCCCCAAACTCAATCCCAGCCTTCCCTTTGTGGTATGGTACCTTGCAGTACAATTTCAGAGAGATCCATACACTTGAACACAAGTTATTGTCTGGAAACTAGAAAAATGCTTATTTTTGGCCCCTTTTTGGCCCCCAATTCCTAAACGTTTCGGGCAATTACCCCCAAACTCAATTCCAGCTTTCCCTTTGTGATATGGAACCTTGTAGTACAATTTCAGAAATATCCAAACACTTACACACAAGTTATTGTCATGAAACTAGAAAAATGCTTGTTTTTTGCCCCTTTTTTGGCCCCTAATTCCTAAAATTTTGAGGCAATTACCCCCAAAATCAATTACAGCCTTCCCTTTGTGATATGGAACCTTGTGGTACAATGTCAGAAAGATCCATACACTTACACACAAGTTATTGTCTGAAAGTTACAAAAATGCTTATTTTTGGCCCCTTTTTGGCCCCTAATTCCTTAACTGTAGGTACCATAACCCCCAAAATCAATTCCAACTTTCCTTTTGTGGTATTGAACCTTATGGTGAAATTTCATGGAGATCGATTCACTTAAACTAAAGTTAGAGTGCGAAAACCATTGTGTCTTCGGACGACGCAGGACGACGCCGGACGACGACGACGACGACGACGACGACGACGACGACGACGCCAACGTCATACCAATATACGACCAAAAAATTTTTAATTTTTGCGGTCGTATAAAAACTTAACACTGAGCAATGAACCTTGAAAATTAGGTCAAGGTAAAAAAAAACCTGTGTGACTGACATATAGATCATAAAATATTTCCATACACCAAATTTAGTTGACCTATTGCATATAGTATTAGAAAAAAAGACCAAAACTCAAAAACTTAACTTTGACCACTGAACCATGAAAATGAGGTCAAGGTCAGATGACACCTGCCAGTTGGACATGTACACCTTACATTCCTTCCATACACCGAATATACTAGACCTATTGCTTATAGTATCTGAGATATGGACTTGACCACCAAAACTTAACCTTGTTCACTGATCCATGAAATGAGGTCGAGGTTAAATGAAAACTGTCTGACGGGCATGAGGACCTTGCAAGGTACGCACAAATATAGTTATCCTATTACTTATAATAAGAAAGAATTTAACATTACAAAAAATCTTAACTTTTTTTTCAAGTAGTCACTGAACCATGAAAGGACAAGGACATTGGACATGTGACTGACGGAAACTTCGTAACATGAGGCATCCATATACAAAGTATGAAGCATCCAGATTATCCACCTTCTAAAATATAAAACTTTTAAGAAGTTAGCTAACGCCGCCGCCGGATCACTATCCCTATGTCGTGCTTTCTGCGACAAAAGTCGCAGGCTCGACAAAAATGTCATTTTAGAGCTGAATTCTATATTATTACTAAAATAATAATAACACAGGGATGTCTTTTCCTGCTTTGTATCTAAATCCCCCCAAATTTGATGGACAGCAGTACAACTTAAAGTAATAAAATGCTTCGCTGGGGCGCAGCTTGATACGACCACAGAGGTCGAAACCCTGAACAGTTGGGGCAAGTATGGACACAACATTCAAGCTTGATACAGCTCTGAATTTGGATTGTTATTAAATATTTGACACAGCATAGGTTTCTGACACAGAAAGAATGTAGTCTAAGAACTTGAATTTTTTTAATTTACCTATTATGGTCCAATGTCCAAAATCAAAATACATGGTTAGATTCAGCATATCAAAGAACCCCATATAATTAATTTTTGTTAAAATCAAACAAAGTTTAATTTTGGACCCCAACTTGGACAAACTTGAAAACTGGGCCCATAATCAAAAATCTAAACACATGTTTAGATTCAGCATACCAAAGAACCCCAAGAATTCAATTTTTGCTAAAATCAAACTTAGTTTAATTTTGGACCCTTTGGACCTTAATGTAGACCAATTTAAAAAACGGGACTTAAAATTAAAAATCTAAATACACGGTTAGATTTGGAATATCAAAGAACCCCAATAAGTCAATTTTTGATGAAATCAAACAAAGTTTAATTTTGGACCCTTTTGACCTCAATATGAACCAATTTGATAGTGGGGCCCACAAATAAAAAATCTAAATTCATGGTTAGATTCAGCATAACAAAGAACCCCATATATTCAATTTTTGTTGAAATCAAAAAAAGTTTAATTTTGGACCCCAATTTGGACCAACTTGAAAACTGGGCCCATAATCAAAAATCTAAATACATGTTTAGATTCAGCATATCAAAGAACCCCATATATTCAATTTTTGTTGAAATCAAACAAAGTTTAAATACTGGACCCTATCTTGGACCAACTTGAAAACTGGGCCAATAATCAAAAATCTAAACACATGTTTAGATTCAGCATATCAAAGAACCCCAAGAATTCAATTTTTGTTAAAATCAAACTAAGTTTAATTTTGGACCCTTTGGACATTAATGTAGACCAATTTAAAAAACAGGACCCAAAATTAAAAATCTAAATACACGGTTAGATTTGGAATATCAAAGAACCCCAATAATTCAATTTTAGATGAAATCAAACAAAGTTTCATTTTGGACCCTTTTGACCTCAATATGAACCAATTTGATAACTGGGTCCACAAATAAAAAATCTAAATACATGGTTAGATTCAGCATATCAAAGAACCCCATATATTCAATTTTTGTTGAAATCAAACAAAGTTTAATTTTGGACCCCAATTTGGACCAACTTGAAAACTGGGCCCAAAATCAAAAATCTAAATACATGTTTAGATTCAGCATATCAAAGAACCTCATATATTCAATTTTTGCTAAAATCAAACAAAGTTTAATTTTGGACCCTTTGGACCTTAATGTAGACCAATTTGAAAACTGGACCCAAAATTAAAAATCTAAATACACTGTTAGATTCGGCATAACAAATAAATAAATGTGATCAAAGATTTTACAAATCTAAAGCGCCATACTGTGCAATTAAAGATTACTTCTTGAAATTTTTCAATATTTGAAATTTGAAAAAAAAATAATATTTGAAGAATAATTCTTTTTAATTTCTGAAATCTGAAATGAGAAAAAATTGACCCCCCACAATTTCTTTTTATCCCCCCCTTTTTTCCCCAAAAAAATTCTTTTCCTCAAGATATGGTCATAATCTCAATTCAAATTTCCAATGGAGATGGCAACCATAATTACCCATTTAAATTTACCATAGTGCTAACTTAATCTATTTTATAATAGAATTAAAAATATAGTGTCAAATCTTTCATATGGATTTTTTTGTAAAAAAAAAGGGTGCAACATTTGCAGATATTTTTACTGGTCTTCCTTTATAAATATGCATTTCTTTAAACATAATTTAAAAGCAGTGTAAGGGAAGTAACCAAAACGTTGTATTTGGATTACCTCCCTTACACTGTTTTAAATTATCTTTATTGTTCATTAACCATTACTTTATACATAATTTAAAAGCAGTGTAAGGGAGATAATTTCAATGATGTATTTGATTTATCTCCCTTACACTGCTTTAAATTATGTTTTGTACTAAAGTATTTGTCCATTAACCAGGACAACCTTGTTTTTCACCCTTTTTTGCCCCTAATTCCTAAACGGTTTGAGCCATAACCCCCCAAAGCAAATCCTAACCATCCCTTTGTGGTATGGAAACTTGTAGTATAATTTCAGAGAGATCCATACACCGTTCCACAGTTATTGTCTGGAAACTAGAAAATGCTTATTTTTGGCCCCTTTTTGCTTAACTGTTGGTACCATAACCCCCAAAATCAATCCCAACCTTCCTTTTGTGGTATTTAACCTTATGGTAAAATTTCAAAAAGATCCATTCACTTAAACTAAAGTTAGAGTGCGAAAACCAATGTGTCTTCGGACGACGACGACGACGCCGACCACAAAATTTTTATGCGGTCGTATAAAAAGGGAGTAAATATTACCTCCCATGTACCAATACTATTGAAGGTTCATCAATGTGGCAAACTAGTTGCTGAAACTAGGACCTAGAATTACCCATCTGGATGTTACCTGCCTACAAATTCCTTCTTAATCATAAGCAGCCATGTTTCACGGTTGTGGTGGTCATCAATGCTTCTTTTAAAAGATCATTCTACATTTATCATTTCCCGGGAATTGGTTTTCAAATATTTTTCCAATTTTTTTATATTTAAATATTTGGTGAAATTTTCTATCTTTAGTACAGACAGAGGTAAAGGTAGCTAGATTGGTGAGTAGGCAGTGATATCTAACATTATTTTTAACATACACATCCTATGGATGATTGTGATGAAGTCCAGATTTGCTCAGTGATTTCACTGGTCCACTAAAAACTACATAGCGAACTAAAGACTAATCACCATGAACCCGACCAAAAGCTTTGGGAGATCTTAGATGCTCTGGAAGAAGATGCTGACTTACCAGATCATAATCCTGTTGGTTCTGAAAAGACATATTTGGCTGAGAAGATGCTGAATCTCTTCTACCCCAGTTACTGGACTTAAGATTTAAAACCGATGATATCAAACATTGACTTGTCCTGAAAATAAAAATATAATTTTTTGACAACCAGGTATCAGTTCCCTTTTTTACCAAATGCAAAATATAATCAAACCATAGTAGATGTTATAAGCCAGCAAATCTGACTTGATCATAAAAAGCAGCATAAGCAAAAATTGTAAAGCCTTCCATGGAACCCTGTGTCTCACCTGCGAGTGCTGCTGTCAGCGTCAAAGTGTAATGTTGACTGTAAAAAGTGAGTCCATTGATCAGTAAAATACCAAATTTAAAAAAAATAAGTCTTCTTTCTTTAGATGCTATTTATCGATCTTGAAGATTAGCTTCTGTCCACGAATTTAAATACTAAAAATGAAATCAATTTTAATTATTTATTTTCAAAAGTTGTAACTGTAAAAAACAAGAGTGCACACGCTGAAATGTCTCGCCTTCTTTACTAATCATTGATATTATGTTGATAGTCCTAAATATAAAGCTTTACTACAACTATCACATACACTTATCATGATCCAAGAAAATGAGGTCAAGGTCATATAAACCAAACAAGAAATACATGTACACCTTACAATCATTCAATACACTAAATATAGTTGACCTATTGTTTATAGTTTCTAAGATACAGACTTAACCAAGAAAACTAAACATTGACCAATGAACCAAGAAAATGAGGTCAAGGTCAGATGAACAATGCCAGGCAGACATGTACTACAGCTTGCAATCCTTCCATACAACAAATATAGTTGACCTATTGCTTATACATGTAGTATTAGAAAAACAGACCAAAACACAAAAACTTAACACTGAGCAATGAACCGTGAAAATGATGTCAAGGTCAAATAAAACCTGCAAGACTGACAGGTACATCATAAAATATTTCCATACACCAAATATAGATGACCTATTGCATAAAGTATCAGAAAAAAAGACCAAAACTCAAAAACTTAACTTTGACCAGTGAACCATGAAAATTAGGTCAAGGTCAGATGACACCTGCCCGCTAGACATGTACACCTTACAATCATTCCATACACCAAATATAGTAGACATATGGCATACAGTATAAGAAAAACAGACCAAAACACAAAAACTTAACTTTAACCACTGAACCATGAAAATGAGGTCAAGGTCAGATGACACCTGCCAGTTGGACATGTACACCTTACAGTCCTTCCATACACCGAATATACTAGACCTATTGCTTATAGTATCTGAGATATGGACTTGACCACCAAAACTTAACCTTGTTCATTGATCCATGAAATGAGGTCGAGGTCAAGTGAAAACTGTGTGACGGGCATGAGGACCTTGCAAGGTACGCACATACCAAATATAGTTGAACTATTGCATATAGTATTAGAAAAAAAGACCAAAACTCAAAAACTTAACTTTGACCACTGAACCATGAAAATGAGGTCAAGGTCAGATGACACCTGCCCGCTAGACATGTACACCTTACAATCATTCCATACACCAAATATAGTAGACCTATGGCATACAGTATAAGAAAAACAGACCAAAACACAAAAACTTAACTATTACCACTGAACCATGAAAATGAGGTCAAGGTCAGATGACACCTGCCAGTTGGACATGTACACCTTACAGTCCTTCCATACACCGAATATACTAGACCTATTGCTTATAGTATCTGAGATATGGACTTGACCACCAAAACTTAACCTTGTTCACTGATCCATGAAATGAGGTCGAGGTCAAGTGAAAACTGTCTGACGGGCATGAGGACCTTGCAAGGTACGCACATACCAAATATAGTTATCCTATTACTTATAATAAGAGAGAATTTAACATTACAAAAAATCTTAACTTTTTTTTCAAGTAGTCACTGAACCATGAAAATGAGGTCAAGGACATTGGACATGTGACTGACGGAAACTTCGTAACATGAGGCATCCATATACAAAGTATGAAGCATCCAGACCTTCCACCTTCTAAAATATAAAGCTTTTAAGAAGTTAGCTAACGCCGCCGCCGCCGGATCACTATCCCTATGTCGAGCTTTCTGCGACAAAAGTCGCAGGCTCGACAAAAAATGAAAATAAGTCCATTCATATAAGATAAAATTCGTAAGGGTTCCGCAGAACCCAGTGTCTCGCCTACTTTTTCTGTTAATCGCAGGCTCAACAAAAATGAGGAAGTAAATCAATAAAAATATTCCTCTTGATACTATCTTTTGATTGTAAGAAGCTTCTGTCCAAGTTCGGTAAAAATCCAGGATAGTTTATGAATCTAATAAATGTTTAAAAACTTTAACTGCAGCCTGAATGTAATGTTAACTGGAAGAAAACAAAATTTCCTTCTAGATACTAGCATTTGATCATAAACAAGCTTCTGTCCAAGTTTGGTACAAATCCAAAATAGTATAAGAAAGTTATTAAAATTTTAAAAACTTTAACCACAGAGTGAATGTGTAGTTTCCTGGCAGAAAATCTAAGTCCATTTAAAAGTAAAAAATGGAAAAAAGGATTTATTTTTTTTACAAAATTTCCTTCTAGATACTAGCTTTTGATCATAAACAAGCTTCTGTCCAAGTTTGGTACAAATCCAAAATAGTATAAGAAAGTTATTAAAATTTTAAAAACTTTAACCACAGAGTGAATGTAATATTTCCCGGCAGAAAAACTAAGTCCATTTATAAGTAAAATACGGAAAAAATGGATTTTTTTTTTTACAAAAATTTACTTCTGGATACTATCTTATGATCATAAACAAGCTCCTGTCCAAGTTTGGTAGAAATCAAGGATAGTTTAAGAAAGTTATTAAAATTTCAAAAACTTTAACCACAGAGTGAATATTTGTGGACGACGCCGACGGAATCTAGGATCGCTATGTCTCGCCTTTTCGACTAAAGTCGTAGGCTCGACAATAAGAAGATATAAGAAGATGTGGTATGATTGCCAATGAGACAACTCTCCATCCAAGTCACAATTTGTAAAAGTAAACCATTATAGGTCCATTACAAAGTCCACTTACCAGAATTTTGTCAGTTAAATGAAGCATAATCAATAGTTAAGTAATCTTGTAAAAGACAATTTTTGATTACTGAGATTGAACTTTCTTCCTTTATATATTTGAAATAACTCTGGGGAATGATATCAATACTATACAGCTTGTGTTGAATTTTATTGAATTACCTTCCACCAGCATAAGATACTGATTAAATACTGTCATAATATCTTATCAACTGTTTAAAGGGAATAAAGCCTACATTTTGCTGCTGTGGAGAAACCATTAAATACAATGTAAATATTCATAAAGAAAACGAATAAGGAAAATTTATTTGCTGTATAGTTAATTTTTCCTTATCTCAACTTGGAGAGTGGGCAAAGAAAACTGGGTCTGTCAGGTCTTGTAAGCATTCTCACACCTACATTGATACATTTTTTGTCAAATCTTTTTGATTTTTTTTTCAAAGTTTAATATCAGCACAGTCTCAGAAGAGTTCAAAACAGCACCAATCAACTATCTTTACTGCAGCTATGTCCTTATGAAATGGTTATTATATAGAAATTTGCACTGCAAGCACTCTCATGCCTACATTTCTTATCAGATTTTTATGAAGTTTTTATCAAAATGTTTATTAAAGCAATTTTTCAGACCACTTTTATAGTCAGTTCTGCTCAACTATTTTTACAGAGGTTATGTCATTTGGATTTACGATTTTATATACGAATTATATGAAAATGATATTGTAAGCGCTTTCAAATATATATTTCTTGGTGCACCAAAATTGGCAATAAAAAATGTGCTGTTTGTTTGTTTGAATTTAATGAAAAAGGTTATATAAGAAAATAAATGGAGAATAGATGATGCCCCCGCTTGCATTAAACAGTATAAAGGGACATAACTAGAGAACTGTAAAAGTGACACCACCCAAATTCGAATTTGATCTGTGTTTTATGGTAATAAGCATTGTGTATAAATTTCATAACATTTGATTGAAACAAACTTAAGTGAGAGAATGGAAATGAAAAATTCAGCAATTTTGCCATTTGTGAAGGAGCATAACTCAGGAACAGTAAAAGTGACGCCACCCAAATTCGAAGTTGATCTGTGTTTTGTGGTAATAAGCTTTGTGTATAATTTTCATATACACAAAACATGGTTAAAATATGTGCTGTGGAGGGGTACATTGGGATGCTGTTTTTTAAATCTGCTTGATTATGAATTTATAGATTTACAGAAAGAAATTCACCTGGGTTTTTTTCTTAAACATGAGGTTGGACTATGGGAAATTATGTATCGGTATGAATTATGTGACCTATTGATGTGAATAATGAGACCTATCAGTGTGAATTATGTGACCTGTCAGTATGAATAATGTGACCTGTTTGTGTGAATTATGTGTCCTGTCTATGTGAATTACAAGACCTGTCAGTGTGAATTATGTCACCTGTCAGTGTGAATTATTTGACCTGTCCGTGTGAATTGTGTGACCTGTCAGTGTGAATTGTGTGACCTGTCAGTGTGAATTATGTGACCAGTCAGTGTGAGTTATGTGACCTGTCAGTATTGTGTGACTTATTAGTGTGAATTTTCAGTGAAAATTATGTGACCTGTCAGTGTGAATGCTGTGACCTGTCAGTGTGAATGCTATGACCTTTCAGTGTGAATTATGTGACCTGTCAGGGAATTCTGTGAACTTTCAGTGTGAATTGAGTGAATAATCAGTACAAATTATGTGAGCTGTCCATGTGAATTATGTGACCTGTCATTGTGAATTATGTGACCTGTCTGTGTGCATTATGACCTATCAATATTATGTCTTGTCAGTACTATGTGATCTATCAGTATCATGTGACCTATCAGTATTATGTGACCTATCAGTATCATGTGATCTATCAGTATTATGTAACCTGTCAGTGTCGATGATGTGATGCATCTATGTGAATCATGTGACCTCTCAGAGTGAATCATGTGACCTAACAATGTGAAATTAGTCACCTATCAGTAAGAAGAGAAATATGTTTCTTTCCACAATGCCATCATATTTGATTTTACATTTACTATTTCCATTTTTACTTACTTATTTAAATGCTGATTTGACTGTAACTGACCAAGACGTACAAATATTTCACTATAATTTCCTTCTTCAGGTTTATTCAAATGTCCTGTATCTTCAATTGCAGCTCCTGCCATCTATGAAATTTAAAATTAAATTGAAAACATTAATTCAAAGATATCATAAACAGAAATATTATCATTATTCCTACCACAAGTAATTATCACTGGAACTGTAAACTAACACTCCTTTGCCATTTTGTTTATTCAGTTATTTCAATATCAGTAAAGATTGAAAATATATAATGTCATTTTCATACACTAATCCCAGGCCTTAGAGAATAACTGAAGATGAGACAACCAAATACAAAAAAAATCATAAAGAGTTCCACGGAACCCTGTGTCTCGCCTACGATTGCTGCTGTCAGTGGACCGTGAAATTGGGGTCAAAACTTTAATTTGGCATTAAAATTAGAAAGATCATATCATAGGGAACATGTGTACTAAGTTTCAAGTTGATTGGACTTCAACTTAATCAAAAACCACCTTGACCGAAAACTTTAACCTGAAGCAGGACAGAAGGACGGACAGACGCACCAGACGGACGAACAGACGCAAAGACCAGAAAACGTAATGCCCCCTACAACTATCATAGATGAGGCATAAAAAGGCTTCTGCCAAAGCTTCATAAAATTCTATGAAGGTTGACAAAGAATCTGATATGTAACAAACTTCAATCCAAGACTGTTGCTACTTGTTAACTGTAAAATAAACTATGTTCATTTATCATTAAAATATGGAAAAATGAAAATAAATGTTTTCAAAATTTTGCTCTTGATACTGTATTTTGGTCATAAACAAGCTTCTGTCCAAATTTCATAACATTCCATGAAGGTTTGACAAAGTTATTGATGACTGAAAAACTTTAACCTCAGACTGAATCTGAATGTTAACTGTAAAAAAAACTAAGTCCATTTATCAGTAAAATATGAGTAAATGAAATTTTGCTCTGGATACTGTATTTTGGTCATGAACAAGCTTCTGTCCAAATTTCATAAAATTCCATGAAGGTTTGACAAAGTTATTGATGTCTAAAAAAAATTTAGACGCAGACTAAACCTAAATGTTGACGCCACCGATGCCGACGCCTGAATCTAGGATCCCTATGTCTGGCTTTTGCGAAATAAATTTTATTTCGCAGGCTCGACAATAAAGGTTACAACTATCAAAATACTCAATGAACTGTTGACACAGAGATTGTCTTGATTGTATGTAATTTTGTTGAAATGTTAAAATTAAAATGGCAATACTTTAGCATGTAAAATATGCAAAACAATTAAAGTAAATGAACCATGACTGAAGGTGCAGGACCAAATAATCTTTGTGGAAATGAGATATTCCAATGCTCATACAGCTGCATACCAAATGTGATTGACTTGTTATAAGTGGTTCCCAGTAAACTGACATAATCACAAACTGTAACTTGAATATGCAAAGGTTTTTAAAGTCAATAAACCATGACTGAGAAAGCAGAGCCAAATAATCTCCTTAGGCTTGGAAATGAAATGAGCAAATGCTTATACAACTGCATACCAAATTTCATTAATCTATCTTCTAGACATGAAAATATCTGAAATATAATTATAATAATTAATAATAGATCATAACATCAAATATTAATTTCAATAGTGTGATACCTACTTTTAATAATTGTGTAGCAGATTTAACTGTTTCATCTGTTGAATGTTCCAGTAATACCAGCAGTAAATCTCTAATAACAAATCTAATTACAGCTATTTTTTGTGTAGCACCTTGTGCATTTTCTACCTACAATACATCAGTCAAATGTCAATTGTTTTAAGTTAATAACATTTCTTTTTATGTATATTCACATAACCTAACTTTCAGATATTTAACAGAATAATGATAACAATCATAAAAGTTATAAATAAAGATAAGACTGGACACCAAATGTCTTGCCTGCATAAGGTTGTTTGTAGTTAATCACTACTTTCAGCACCCTGGACTATACCTTGGCAGCTAGTTTTTATTGATGGAGGAAGCTGGAGTGTCAAAAGAAACCAAAGACCTTTGATAGGAAAACTGGTAATCCTAGTAAATCAAAATAAGAGTGGAAAGCACTTGGCAAGAGTAGATGAACTACTTAGACCATTCTGCAACCCAGGTCCTGCCTGCATATGTGGTTTATATAAGGTTGTACTTTAGATTTCATCCAAATTAAAAAAAAAAATCAACCATGAAAATAAAGATGAGATAAGCTGAACTCTGCCAGACAATACAGAAAACAAAGATGAGATAAGCTGAACTCTGCCAGACAATACAATGACTTTATCAAAGATACTTTATTTCTTAAGCTATCTCAGAAACCGACCTAATTAGCAAAATTTAATATGATTAATGACCCATAAAAATGAGGTCAAAGTCAAATGTTAAATGTATAGTGGCAATTATAACATGTACATCAGGATGAGAACAAGTCAATGTGAACCCAACTTTCTAATAAACCCACAAGCTATGCCAGACTTTTGACATGCTAGTTCATGAGGTAAGTGCACAGGAAGACATGTCACCCTAACCAGACACATAATTCTGACTTCAAGCTGACCAGTCTTTGCTCAGACTCCTAAATACATATGCATAGTGGAAAAGCAGCAAATACTGCTTTTCAAACCTTTGGTTTTACTTGGCCATGGATCTAACCCAGGATCTACTGCACTCTAGGCCAGCACACTTCCATGAGACTATGGAGGTGGTTCAACATATCTGATATATTAACTAACACATGCTTTTCTGCCCAGCAAAAATGTATTCTTCTAGAACAAGTCTGGCTATACATGTATGTTAGACAAGTGTGAAAAGTGATACCCTTATGAAAGGAAATCCAGGTTTCTCATATTGACTTGGTGCATGCATCCTTGACAGATGACGATCTAACTGGGTGTGTCATTTCATGAACAGAACATCCAAAGGACCTGTCTTGCTCACCACTCTAGCTCTTTCAAAATATATCCCTTAAACATGTTAAACATGCTTGTCACCAATATTTTAATGGAAATTGACAAGTTGATTTATCCTCTGACTTTTTTATTCTAGGCCCACTGACGAGTCTTATGTAGATGAAACGTGTGTTTAGTGTATTGAATTATAAGCCTCCTATCATTGATGAGTCTTATGTAGATGAAATGTGTGTTTAGTGTATTGAATTATAAGCCTCCTATCATTGATGAGTCTTATGTAGATGAAATGTGTGTTTAGTGTATTGAATTATAAGCCTCCTATCATTGATGAGTCTTATGTAGATGAAATGTGTGTTTAGTGTATTGAATAATAAGCCTCCTATCATTGATCTTATGTAGATGAAATGTGTGTTTAGTGTATTGAATTATAAGCCTCCTATCATTGATGAGTCTTATGTAGATGAAATGTGTGTTTAGTGTATTGAATAATAAGCCTCCTATCATTGATGAGTCTTATGTAGATGAAATGTGTGTTTAGTGTATTGAATAATAAGCCTCCTATCATTGATCTTGTGTAGATGAAATGTGTGTTTAGTGTATTGAATTATAAGCCTCCTATCATTGATCTTATGTAGATGAAATGTGTGTTTAGTGTATTGAATAATAAGCCTCCTATCATTGATGAGTCTTATGTAGATGAAAACGTGTGTCTTGTGTATTGAATTATAAGCCTCCTATCATTGATCTTATGTAGATGAAATGTGTGTTTAGTGTATTGAATAATAAGCCTCCTATCATTGATGAGTCTTATGTAGATGAAATGTGTGTTTAGTGTATTGAATTATAAGCCTCCTATCATTGATGAGTCTTATGTAGATGAAATGTGTGTTTAGTGTATTGAATTATAAGCCTCCTATCATTGATCTTATGTAGATGAAATGTGTGTTTAGTGTATTGAATTATAAGCCTCCTATCATTGATCTTATGTAGATGAAATGTGTGTTTAGTGTATTGAATAATAAGCCTCCTATCATTGATGAGTCTTATGTAGATGAAACGTGTGTCTTGTGTATTGAATTATAAGCCTCCTATCATTGATCTTATGTAGATGAAATGTGTGTTTAGTGTATTGAATAGTAAGCCTCCTATCATTGATGAGTCTTATGTAGATGAAACGTGTGTTTAGTGTATTGAATTATAAGCCTCCTATCATTGATGAGTCTTATGTAGATGAAACGTGTGTCTTGTGTATTGAATTATAAGCCTCCTATCATTGATCTTATGTAGATGAAATGTGTGTTTAGTGTATTGAATAGTAAGCCTCCTATCATTGATGAGTCTTATGTAGATGAAACGTGTGTTTAGTGTATTGAATTATAAGCCTCCTATCATTGATGAGTCTTATGTAGATGAAACGTGTGTCTTGTGTATTGAATTATAAGCCTCCTATCATTGATCTTATGTAGATGAAACGTGTGTCTTGTGTATTGAATTATAAGCCTCCTATCATTGATCTTATGTAGATGAAATGTGTGTTTAGTGTATTGAATAATAAGCCTCCTATCATTGATGAGTCTTATGTAGATGAAACGTGTGTTTGGTGTATTGAATAATAAGCCTCCTATCATTGATGAGTCTATGTAGATGAAATGTGTGTTTGGTGTATTGAATAATAAGCCTCCTATCATTGACGAGTCTTATGTAGATGAAACGTGTGTCTTGTGTATTGAATTATAAGCCTCCTATCATTGATCTTATGTAGATGAAATGTGTGTTTAGTGTATTGAATTATAAGCCTCCTATCATTGATCTTATGTAGATGAAATGTGTGTTTAGTGTATTGAATTATAAGCCTCCTATCATTGATGAGTCTTATGTAGATGAAATGTGTGTTTAGTGTATTGAATTATAAGCCTCCTATCATTGATCTTATGTAGATGAAATGTGTGTTTAGTGTATTGAATAATAAGCCTCCTATCATTGATGAGTCTTATGTAGATGAAACGTGTGTCTTGTGTATTGAATAATAAGCCTCCTATCATTGATAAGTCTTATATAGATGAAATGTGTGTTTAGTGTATTGAATAATAAGCCTCCTATCATTGATGAGTCTTGTGTAGATGAAGTGTGTGTCTTGTGTATTGAATAATAAGCCTCCTATCATTGATGAGTCTTATGTAGATGAGACGTGTGTCTTGTGTATTGAATTATAAGCCTCCTATCATTGATCTTATGTAGATGAAATGTGTGTTTAGTGTATTGAATTATAAGCCTCCTATCATTGATCTTATGTAGATGAAATGTGTGTTTAGTGTATTGAATTATAAGCCTCCTATCATTGATCTTATGTAGATGAAATGTGTGTTTAGTGTATTGAATAATAAGCCTCCTATCATTGATGAGTCTTATGAAGATGAAACCAAGGCTTCCAAAACGGTCATATATTCCGGACAATTGTATAATGTCCGGTAAAAGTCCGGCTGGGCAAAGCATGAAACGGTCATCTACTTTTTAGTTGTCAAGGCTTTCTTAAGAGACGGTCATTTTAGCATAATTCGCGATCTTTTTGACCCAACCTTTTGCCTTTAACAGCCACACATTTCCGGTCATAAAAGTGACATGATGATTAATTACTATCAAAACAACCCCTACTTCAATACTTTCTAATTTTAATCAAGGCTAATTAGTTTTTGGACAGCTGAAATCTACCTGTTCAGGTGACAGGTAAACTATTTCCAGTACCGGACATCGTATAAATTGATCGGTCTATTCAAAGTTAATTTCTTACATTTCGGCGGTTTCTATCTAATTGATTTAGTCCAAAAGATTGAAATTATAAGAAATACGTTTATAAACATGATTTGATGAAAAATTTAAAAAGGTTTTAAATGAAAAATCGTAAGAACTACGTTTTATGAACTAGAACACGTGTGCGCATGTGCGCAGTAGGGAAATTTAATATTATGCATCCTTCATTTCTTAAAAAATGATAAAAATTATCATTGATACCTGTATCTAACGTTCATTTCAAGTATTTTGTTGCAGAAATAACGTGGAAAGAGCTTCTTCATTCAGTCGTGCTTTGTAAACGTACACGGATTTTACGTATCCGTTTCTGGTCCATGTTTTACCATTGTCAGATCAACATCCGGTATTAGGAAAACGTGATTTTAAAAACGAAAGTAAAGTTTTTGACAACGTAATTTTGCACAAATAAAGAGTCTAAGGCAGTTATGAGCACACTGATGTGCACACTTCGAATTATGCACTGCCAATTTAACAGTTTACGTCCGAACATCAAATTCACATCAAAGTAAAGTTTAATATCGTTTTTTTTTTAATCTAATGTCAATCATTGGGATGGCAATCTGATTACCATAATTGCCTTTTGTGACTTAGTCTTAAGAGATTAAAATCGGGATAAGATATAAAATGTCCGGCTGGCTCAAATATTTTTTTGAAGCCCTGGATGAAACGTGTGTCTTGTGTATTGAATTATAAGCCTCCTATCATTGATGAGTCTTATGAAGATGAAACGTGTGTCTGGTGTATTGAATTATAAGCCTCCTATCATTGATGAGTCTTATGTAGATGAAACGTGTGTCTTGTGTATTGAATTATAAGCCTCCTATCATTGATCTTATGTAGATGAAATGTGTGTTTAGTGTATTGAATTATAAGCCTCCTATCATTGATCTTATGTAGATGAAATGTGTGTTTAGTGTATTGAATTATAAGCCTCCTATCATTGATCTTATGTAGATGAAATGTGTGTTTAGTGTATTGAATTATAAGCCTCCTATCATTGATGAGTCTTATGTAGATGAAACGTGTGTCTTGTGTATTGAA